GCGGCCGACAAGATTCCAAGTAGAATCGAGCAGTACGGGTTCTACGGTTAAACTGCGGGTTCCACCGCTAGAACCCGCCATACGACATACTTTTTTATATGGGATGTCCTCTCTATGTATGTATACTCTTTGCCTGAATGAAAGCTGGATAAGCTTTTTAAGGAAGTAGTAAAGTAGTAAGTAGTAAGTAAATCGCGGCGGTTTTTGTTTAAAAAAATGTTTGCCTTCGACTTTATAAATGATTTATATGTATTTTTTGTTAATATATTTTATTTCCGTTGTATAATTTGTATTTTGTTTTGTTTTCTAAATGTTATATTTAACTACGAGAACAGATATGCTCTTCCTAAAAAATGTAATGCCATTCTCGTGCTTAGGTAGTATCATCGCTAGTACATCGAGAGACATCGATATAAATGTCGCTAATACATCGAGAGACATCGATATAAATTTTGACACACCGATATAACATGAAGCTTTCGAGCGATATATTGGGCAAAATGACGCAAGTGTGCTTCAACGGTTTTTTATTTTCAAACGAAAAAATATTTAGCGTTTTTAACGAAAACTATTAGTTTTACAGAAAAAATGTTGTTATGTCTCGACTGATTTTCGGGGATCCAACCATCGGATTCCGGCTAGCAATCGGATTTCTTGGGTGTGAGTATGACCACGATAGTTGGATCCGTCGGCACACAGTAAATATTTATTTTCTTCAGACTTGATGACTACTTAAAAAAGGAAAGGGAACAAGGACTGCGGACCTGCTGTTGATGGCCTCGGAATATACCCTCCCTTCCTCGAGCTGCTGCATCTTTCAAGCAACTCCCCGACACTGGCTACTGGGTCTGTTATGCGTCACCTCACCCCATTTTTGACACTCTACTCGCACATTTCTGTTCTCACTTTAATTCACAAAAAGGCTTATAAATAACATTCATTTACCATCACAATTCCCTAACCTGGGTACCACAGGGACGATTACACAACACATGAATAAATAGTTATAAGTATAAATAAATAATAAATATATATAGGGTTACATGGGTATATTAATTTATGTAGAAGTAGATTTGTAGTTTGTAGTTTGTAGTGGGTGGTTATATTTGACTATATTCGTGGTTTTATTAACTTTAAAACTAAACTTAAAATAAAAAAAAACCTGGAACCACCCAGATGTGGGCGGCGATAATCAAAATCCCAATCGTTTTCTCTCAGTTTTAATCCCTTCCTCGCAGACTCCCAGATTTCGAATTTGGCGCCGGAAGCTGCGAACACAAAAGCACTTTAATTTATATTTTCTATCTTAAACTTGCACTCTCACTTTTGGAATTTTTTTCCCAGAGACACGACTACACTTCCTCAGCTTCTAGATGGTTCTGATTTGCCCTTTAGTTGCCCTTCTTGTAAGTCGGCTCAATTGTCTTTTCGAGAGAGAGTTTTCCGAAATTTAAAACTATCTTGAGCCCACTATTCTACTAGTTCCGCCGCGAACCAGCACGACTCCGGAACCAGTTCTCCATTCCCAGGCCATCTCTAGTATCGGCATCTGTTGCTCCTCTCTAACTAGGGATGTCGAAATATTTAAAAATATCGTATCGATGATATTTTTTATTTAAACAAAAAATCAAAATGATATTTGATATATCAGAAAAAAAATATCTATATATCAGATATTTTTGATATTTTTGATTTATTATTTTTTTTTTTTAATTTTAAGCTGCATAAGCAATAACCACCAAACATTAACCCCCATACGATCTTAAATTATATTTTTATAATTTTTAGTTTATATATTTTAATAAATGAAAGAAAACAATATTTATTTTGGCTTTCTTTTGCTTTTATTTATAATATTAAAGTCAATTATTTCCAGCGCTTTTTTTTTCTCGAATTCTGAATGCTATGCTATGCATTTTCACTTGCCGAAAAATAAATTTTAGCGGCGCTCATCTTTCACATATGTATTTTTTCTTGTCCCGATGAAAAGTGAGACCACTTAAAATTATCAAAAAAATGTTAAAAAAAAAATCGATGATATATGATAATTATTGAAAAAAAATATCACGATAAAAATATTTATTTTTTCGTAAAAAATATCGATATATTGATATTTTGATATATTTTCGACATCCCTATCTCTAACCCAGGTACGCGGTCGTTTGGTATGTTTTGATTTCGTATATGTTTATTTTCTTTATTTTGGCAGACCATAACAATGTATAAAACATAAAATACTCATTTATTTAATTGCTTTCATTTCTCCTAGCTAGCTTTTTGATTAAGCTATTATATTCGAAGATATTTAAGAAAAACAGTTTTTACCGTTATTTTCCATGATCCCGTTATTTGCGCCAACTTTGACTATTTTTCCAATAATCAGGACACCAAATAACGTGGATTTTGAAAGTTTGGACGAAATCGGGGGTTGGAGCTAAACGGAAGTTGACCCTTAGATAGTCGGGACACCAACCCGACTATAGCGTTCTCTCTTATTTTAACATGAAATTGTTACCAGAAATAAGTTTTATTATACCCTTGCAGAGGGTATTATAATTTCAGTCAGATGTTTGCAACGCAGTGAAGGAGACGTTTCCGACCACATAAAGTACATGTATTCTTGATCAGCACCAATAGCCGAGTCCATCTAGCCATGTCCGTCTGTCCGTTTCTATGCAAACTAGTCTCTCAGTTTTAAAGCTATCGCGATGAAACTTTCCCAAAAGTCTTCTTTCTTTTGCAGGTAGTACATAAGTCGGAGCAAGCTGGATCGGACCTCTATATCTTAAGGCTCCCATAGAAATAATGAAATATATAATTTTAAGGAAGAAGGCGTTTTGATTTTTGACAACTTAAAAACTTAAATGGCAATAATATATGTGTAATCCCTGGAACTGCACCGATCGAGTGAGCATTAAACTATAGGTATTTATTTTATCTGCAAGGGTATAAAAGCTTTGGCTGGCCGAAGCTGCTTTCTTTCTTGTTTTTAACTACATTTCTAAGTACTTTTGAATAAATAATTCGTTAACACAACATTTCGATAACTACTCAAAAATTTGGTATTTCAAAAGGGGGATTCCCTAAACTGTTGAATTGCTGAATTGTTGAATTTTGGTCAGCTGTTAATCAGCTGTTCCATACAAAGTCAACTTTCAGAAATTTCAGCAATTCATCAGCCTCGGGGCTGCTGAAAATTTTGTTGAATTGCTGAAAAGCCAGAGTTGTCACCTTTTTTTAAAAGTCGTGGCAACTCTGTAACATTTTAGTATCACCAGTACGCATTATTTATTTTAAAATCAACTTAGAAAGCATATTTGTGGTTCTTTTTACCTTGGTAACACTTTTAGAGAGTAACTAGCAATAATAAATCAAATTTTACATGCTTTAAGTTCCGTGAAATTTTTCAACAAATAACAGCTGTTTGAAAATTCAACAGGAACCATTTTGGGTCGTTCCCTTAATTGCTGAAATTTTTTGTTGAATTTTCAACAATTCAGCAATTTAACAGTTTAGGGAATCCCCCTAAAGTTCGAGCTAGTTGTCAGGTTGGGCGGTTTGCCGACGGTTTTAGCAAATTTTTTCGAGAGGTTTTATAAAAAGCATAAGTTTAACTGAAACCCGAATTAAATATACAAATTGTAGTATTAAGATTTTTGATCAATTTTTGGAAGTTGGTTAATTTTATCAAAACGTCCGGCAAAGTACAGGAGATTTAGAAACCGTCAAAAATTATGTCTGTGTCATCGAGATTTGCTATTCGGGTAAATTTGGTTGGAATGGTTGTCTGTGACACCCAAATGTTTTCGTTTGCAGAACATTTTAAGTTTTGGCCACGCTTTGTTTGCGAATGATGATGATTTTCCGTTAACAACGAACTACAAATAATTAAACAATAACTAAAAATCAATGAGTTTAATCAGTTTTTAATTTTTTCCCGGCATTGATTTGATTTGGCTTCTAAGTCATCGTCCCAATTTTCACAAACGAGAAAAATTCAGGTTTGCACCGAAAAAACATCGCCTAACTATCGCATAAAAGAGCCCGTCAAAGTTCGTCCAAATTGGATGGCGAACTAACTGGGAAATTTTCGGAATGGCAAAACCTTACGGACCATCCGTTCAACGGATGGTGGATGGAGCTCTGTGGGAAGACCCTATAACTATCACATCAGGGAGCTCGTAAAAGTCCGTCAACTCTGGATGGCGGACTGACAGACAAACATTGATGTTTTCGTACACGAACAGCTTACATTTTGGCCCACTCATAGCAACCTGTTTGCGAACGCTTTTCCGCTGGGAAATTTTCGGCCAAAATGTAAGCTGATCGTGTACGAAAACATCAATGTTTGCAGCAAAGACTATTCTGGTTCATATTCTGGTTCTGCACATCGTATATTATAACTAATATTAATTAAAAGTGTACTATGTATTCCTATAAAGTTCCAAAATTGCTATAAATTACCAAAACGGCAGAAACTTGGTTTTGTTTAAAAATTTGCATTTTTAATAATGGCTAGACAGAGGCGTAGTAAGAGCGGAGTGTGGGATACGGGAGGTTAGGCTCTCCCCCAGTCAGCAATATGTGTGCATACTCGTTATGGGATATGTTATAAATGTTCTGATATGTTTATTAACTATTATCTTAATCTATTTATTGTAATATTCTACAAAAGGATTAGAAGAACGCCTTCGCTAATGTTGAGCTGAGCAACTGCTCTTAGGTCAGCTGTTATTGGATGGAGCTCTGTGGGAACACGAGTTTCACATTTGTCAAAAATCCCAACCGTTTCACACGCATGGACTCTATGGGAAGAGGCTATACATTTTCGGAACTGCAAAACAATCCGTTCAACGGATGCTCGTTGATGCAGAATCACTCTATCTGAACAGGCTATAAATAGCAAAAGGTATTTAAAATGGTGGGAATAATATAATTTTTAGTAGTAGTGAGTAAAGCAAAAATCGATAATGCAAACAACCAATCGATTTGTCGCATCCACCTCTAAATATCTGCGCTTCCGAGATATTGTTCAATTATAAAGAAGAAGAGACATAACAAAAGTATTTTTGCATTCTACGCCTTAAGTGATCAAATAAGTTTGGGAACGACTAATAATGCTGACGTTTCTAGATGTTTGACTAATCCAAGCGAAACCACCAATGTATGTAAATGTGAAACGGGCGTTAACAAAGGTACTTCTGCAGTGTAGTAATGTCATTCGAGATTTGTTATTGTCGATCTGCTGCAAATATAGAGTTGAGCCTAACGCATTTTTGCTAATAATGGGGTCTTAAACAAGTCGCTTAGAGCTAAATTTGGGTACAATTTATATTGATGTAAAAAATAATTTAGTTCGAAATCAGGTTGAAGAGATTCTATGGCACCGCCAAATAACTAATATTTCACAGTCGCTGCAGTGTCACTCAGAACAAGGAATTTATCGCATGGGATAAAACAGCTGTAGAAGATGGATCCGCAGAAGATCACAGAGCTGGCCAGCCTGCTCCGCCAGAACGGCGACAAAATATTGAGCTCCGAGTTTACCTTGACGTTATCAGGTGAGAAAGCTAAAATCAACGGCAAACGATCCCGAACAAAGGCAGAACGCAAAACACTAAACATGCGGCAATTGGCTGATGACTGGGCGTTGTTAAGGTTCCCATTTCAATCACTTATCGCTTTCATCGAATTCTCCGCCACAGGTTCCCTCTTGAGGGCGCTGAACGACTCCTTCACCCTGATCGCGGATATTGAGATTGGTTCCTGCGCGGGGTCCCACCAGCATCAGTCCTTCCAGGTGGTCAAGCCCATCAACGCAAAGTCCAGTGTCTTTCCCGACCTGCAGTTAGTCCACGACTTTGTGCAAAAGACTTCGCTGCTGAGGCTGACCTACTTCCCCAGTGAGCTCTATTTCGAGGGCGCCATCGACATCGCGAAGTTCCGAGCATTGCGGCGGCTCGAGGTAAACAAAATCAACATCGGCCAGGTGGTGGGAATCCTACCACTGCGCGCTCAGCTGCAGCACCTGATCTGCGTGAGGAGCCTGACTAGCGTGGACGACATTATCATACGCTGCGGCGGTGACAACTCCAACGGCTTTGTGTGGAACGAACTGCAGACTGCCGACTTTAGCTACAATAGTTTGCGCAGCGTGGACTCCGCCCTGGAGTTTGCCCAGCACCTTCAACATTTAAATCTACGGCACAACAAACTTACCAGCGTTGCCTCCATCAAATGGCTACCGCACCTGAAAACTCTGGACCTGAGCTACAACTGCCTCACGCACCTTCCGCAGTTTCACATGGAGGCCTGTAAGCGGCTGCAGTTGCTCAACATTAGCAACAATTACGTAGAGGAGCTACTGGACGTGGCAAAGCTGGATGCTTTGAGCAACTTGGATCTGTCAGATAACTGCTTGTTGGAGCATTCGCAACTCCTCCCCCTAAGTGCCTTGCTTACCCTGACCGTATTGAACCTGCAGGGCAATCCGCTTGCCTGCAATCCGAAACATCGGCTGGCGACAGCGCAGTATCTGAGCAAGATCGCGGCGTCGGGGAAGTTTGTTTTGGACTTTGAGCCACTTTCTAAGGCGGAGAAGGTGCTGACGGGCACCCAGAAGTGGCGTTACATAGGCTCGCTTAACCACCGCCAACACAGAAGTAGGTCTGTGTCCATTAATGGCTCTAGTGCTTCCATAAATACCAGCGATGGCTCCCAGTTTTCCAGCTTTGGCTCCCAACGTTCGATGACAGTCAAGGGAAAGGATTACCCAGTGGAAGCAGAACCGCCGATGGCAGTAGACGCCTCGCAATCTAGCAAAAGGATACCATCGAAAAAGATCCGCACAGTGGATATAGAGGAGAATGTTGAGAGTGAGCCGGAAACAGCCTCAGTTTCTTCTCAAAAACCCCAATCCGACTCCGAAGAGGGAACCGATTCTTCCCACCTTGAGACCAAAAAGCAAATCGAGACACTTCGTCTTACTTATGGCAATGAATGGTTAAAGACCGGCAATGCTGAGCTGATGCTAGGGGTCGAATCGCCGCAACCAACTGAACGTGAACGCAACGAGGCTCGTCAGCTGTTCAAGGAGTTCTTAGGGGAATTCTCAGGGTCATCAAAAGCGAGACTTGTTCCTCAAGCAGATTCTGAGTATATCAGCATTAGCTCCACTCCCACGAACAACGTTTTGTTAAATACCACCTTTGATACCATGCTGACCCCTATCAAGTTGGATGCGAACGATACTAGTGGGCAAACTCTTTATGAGACCTGCACTGAAGGGGAAGTAACAAAATACGAGAGCATTAACAATACCGGGAAAATGTCGGCTGAGCAACAGTTACCCGATAAGCACGAGGAGTTTTTGAGACTCTATGCAAATAGCTCCAGTGCTAGTCAGATTGAGGACCAGGGTGAGTTCTTTTGAAAACGCTAGAAATCCGCTTTTTAAAGTCTAAGTGTATTTTTTAGTATCCGATGCCGAGTCTGACGAGGAAACCTACATAGTTTATCATGAACATAAGCCGAGCGAAGCGTTGTTTCTCACCATATCATCGAATTTCTTACGCGAAAAAGACACGCTAACCGAAAGGTATGATTGGAGATGTGCACAAAAGGAACTTTATTTGTATGTTATTTATTTTATTACTAAATAGGACCAAAACCAAATGGAGTCTAAAAATTCTGGAGTCATGCGAGCGTGTCAAGTCCAATACCTTGCGAATTATTTTTGACACGATTCGAAAGGATAAACAGGAGCGTATATATTGTGTGGAGAATACATTGTGCCAGGTCGGTAAATAGAGAATTGCCAAACTCAGGTTACGAATATCTTGTTTTCTTCTTGTTCTTAATCAGGAACTGGAAAAGAAACTGCGAGACATTCTCTCTCAGCGTGATTTAACCGAAATGAATATTTCCATCTATCGCTGTGTAAATTGTCTAACTCAATTTACTATTGAGCAAAAAAGCAAGCGATATGGAACAAAAGGTACAAAATAGGTAACCCATTAAGAATACATTAATTTAATTTTAAAATTTCTTAGACCTGCGTTGTCCAGACTGTCGCAGTGTCTATGTGGCTGAAGTGACGGAATTGTCCTCATCTTTGACCAAACCTTCTGGAAACGATGCGGCAGAGCCCAAACTTTCCCCCGCCATGATTGTTGAGGAAATCTCTGTAGAGACAACTATTGGGACGGCAATAAAGGAAGAGAGCAACAGCATTGGCAAGTCCTTGGCCAGTTTAATTTCGCTTTATTGATCACGTTATTAAAAATTTCTATTACATTTTTTGTTGTAGTTAAGTTAATAGCCTCCATTAGCATTCATTTAGTTTCAACCATTTGAGATTTGTTTTGGTTTTTGTTGTGTTTGGTTAATGTTTTTAAGTTTGTGTTGAACATCATTACTGTATATTAATTGCATTTTTATTTCTTTTTTATTTATTTTGCATGCGAACATAAATCAAACATGGCTAAGCATCTGTCTTTCATATAATTACATTGTATTTTTTGGACTTTTTCTCTCACCCACCAACCAACAACAATAACATTGTTGTGATGTAAAAAATATTAATACTTTAGTGGCCAACTACAGGCTTACAACTGCTAAAGGCACACCCAAGCGTAGGAGTTTGATGCAAGCCACAAAAAGTTAATATTCCGATTTATATACTTATTTATTTTACAAATCAATTGAATTTCTTTTTTGTTCTGTAATGCGAAGCAGCATTTGGGCATGATGCGAAGTAAAGCTAACTAAATACTTGTTGGAAGAACAGATCTTTTTAACGCTTTAAACTTATTTTTAGCTTATTGAGCTCTGATGAGCCTAATTGACCTAAATTTCTGAAGATTAACATTTTATAAAGGACCTGCTAATAACCGACAAATTTATTAAAACAATAATTTTTGTATGCTTTTATAAAGAAAGAAAAGCAATGCTGCTTCCATTAAAAAATAATGTTGATAATAAAAGGAACTTACTAATATATTAACATTTCAGGTTCCGCCAATTCGCTAAACGAGAGCAGTTCTTGCTCAAAAATTACAAACTCGCAGAGCTCTTTCGACTCTAATCAATCCGTGGTGGGTAGCTCTAACACGGATCGTGATTTAGAGTTTCGGGCGAACGAAAGTGATGTGGACATCATCTCCAATCCGAGCCAGTCAAGCATAGAGGTCCTTGATCAGAACTACGTGCAGAGCGCCAGTCGTAAGACTTCAGAAGAGCGCCGCATATCCCAGCTGCCGAATCTGGACACGATACGCGATGACATAGTGAAATCTAAAAGCTTCATCGAAAGAGAGTTGCAACCGCCTCAGGCGGAGCAGGCCCAGGACGTAGCTCTTTCAGCTCCCTCAAGAGCTGTGTCCCAAGTTCCGCTTACAGAGAGCAGCTCGTCAGGATCTGTAACCGACAGCATTTGTACAACCTACGAGCATCCGGGCATCGATGCACCTCATAATCTTTTAAGTTCTCTGCTTACTGAATCGGCAAATAGCCAACTAAGTAGCACAGATGCGGACTTAAATAGCAATTTGAAAAGAGCCGAGGAAGTCAGCCTTCTACCGTTCGCATCGGTATTTCAATCAACTAACCTGCTCATGTCCAGTTCAAAGAAGCTATTGGAGTCGGAATGTAGCGTCTTGGGTACCCAGCCCTACAAGTTTAACTACAGCGACTTTAATGATATTGATCATCGTATAAAGCTCCACTTATACCAGGAAAAGTTTAAAGAGGATGGTGAGCATTTTAAGTGGTTGGCAAAGGGACGCGTATATAACGAGCAGACCCATGTCTTGTTTGAAGGACTCGTGGTGATGTCCAACTGCAAGTGCTATCTAATGGAGTCGTTTGCATTACCGCAAGACGATGTCGCCAAGTGGCTGCGGCAGGTCGCACGTGTGTCGGTTGATCGATTAGTAGCGATTCAGCTGCTGCCCTGGAAACTTGGATTGTCCTTCGCCTTAAGGGATTGCGTCGGATTTATGTTGATGTTGCACGATACACTGAGGACCGACAGCTTACTTCATTACTTGCGACGTAAGTAAAATGTACACACAGTAAATTTTTGTACAAAACATTACTTTTTTTTTAAAGGTAATCCTCTGCCAGAGCAGTGCGAACTGATTTACCAACCATCCATCACCCTCAGCAATCAGTTGCAGACTATTGCATCCGAACCCGTTAGGATGTGCTCCCTCCTTCCCAGCTGCCAGCGGATTTTTGAGCAAGAAAAGAACACCTTTGAACCCTGTCTGCTCCTAATCACGGAGTCACATTTGTATATATCAGGAAATGGCAAATTCCCATGGCTATCAAACAAAATGCCGGATAAATCAATACACCCAGAACTAAGTCTCAGCCAGACCTTAAGCAATTTGGTAGGCGTGGAACGCGTCACAGATCAAAATTATGAGATCAACTTCATCGACGAGACCCAAAACAAGTGCGAGATATGGCAGTTGCTGTTCGAAACGCACACCAACGCCGCTTGTTGCCTGAATGTGATCGGAAAAGGATGGGAACAGCTTTTTGGAGTGCCATTCAGTCTCTCTTGAACGTAGTACATCTCTATGCTGAGGGGTCGAGTAGTGACTACACTACAGATCGAAAGTTAGCCCGTTCTAATTATTGTGAAAAGTTTAGAATTGTTGATCTTTATTTACTATGTTATTTAATGTCAGATAAGTTGTATTAATTAACCCTGTGTAAATGTAGCGAAGGCGTAGACTAGGTCATTCAATTTATAAAAGATGGTGCTTACCCACGAAATAAATGTATATATCTATAAATGTAAAGGTTAATATTTTTGAAGTCGCTACAATATATATTCAAATAAAGAAACCAGGGACCGTAACTGTTATAAGTTTTATTTTAAAAATCACACTTTAACAGTTATTTTATGATTTGTAAAGTAAAACTCAAAGAATAACTGTTATTTTTCGAGTTTTATAATAAAAGTTGACAAATAACAGTTATTCGTCGTGATCAAATATAAAACTCAAACTTGATTTTTAGCGATTTTGTGGGTAAAATAAATTAAAAAAAAATATAGTTATAAAATATGCGCGGTTGCCTCTTTTAAAAATTTTTTAGTAAGTTTTATAAAACATGGTTAGCATGTTTTTTTTAATTATTTAATTTTTTCAACAATGTCAAGGGAATAACTGTTATTCATAAAAATCAACAAATAACAGTTATTTTTTGAGTTTTATTATAAAAATCAAAAAATAAAAATCATTAGGGGAGAGGTCTGTAGGTTGAGACGGTCTGTAAGTTGAGACACTCAATTTTCTCAAAACTTATCCACTAAAAAAATTGTTTTTATTTTTTTTTGTAGTCCTTTTTAGTGACAAAACTTTTGGGGAAAACATTATAAGCCAGGCTCTAGCCAGATTAAAGCTGTGAGAGTCGTGTACCATTTTTTACCAAAAAAGTTTTTGTCTACTTTTTTCAAAATTCCATTTAAAATTAATAACGTCCTTAAATTAACTTGGTAAGAGATTTAAAACATTAGTATATTAACTGTTAACAAATTAAAAAAAAGAATCAGCTTAATGTGACAGTCAGAAAAAAAGTTATTAATTTTTTCCCGAAACATCCCATTTTGTGTAAGTTGGGACACTTTGAGCGTGTAAGTTGAGACACCCGTTTTTCATACAAAAAGGCCTTAGGCCAACAGAGGTCGCTTTCTGCCTAGTACATTTCTTTGATATTAGGGGAAAAGTGAATGTTCAAAGAGCCTTTTGATTTTAATTGTTATTTGGTCTAAGTTCTTAAAAAATGGATGGGAAATAATTTAGGACGAACTAAAATTGATTAAATTAACATAAATAAATAGTTCCTTATAGTTTGGAGTACTTTTTGTGTGAGTATTATTGACTTTTAAAAGTGTCTCAACTTACAGACCTCTTTTTCAAAATGTCGTTTTTTGGGACTTTTCAAAAAAATAATTTTTCAGTTTTCCCTAAGGAAAAAAAATATTTTTTTTGTTTTTTATTAAGCTAATAGACTAACCTTTCGATCAGTACCAAATGCGTAAAGTTTCATAAGTGAATGTCGAAATGGTAGATTAAAAACAAAAGGTGTACCAACCTACAGACCTCTCCCCTACGGATTTGTAAAAAAAATGTATGACCCTTCTAAGTGCGTGATTTTTTTTGTAAGAAAAATTTACAATAACAGTTATTTTCGGTCCCTGAAAGAAACATAAATTTTGATGGTTGTGTTGTATTCGTTTAAAAATATCTAACAGCCAGAAGGAAATGTTTCCGTCGCAGTAAAGTATATTTATTCTTGTTTTAGGATCGCTGCCTAAGCGACCTAACAGCATCCGTCTGTCCGTTTGTCTGCACGAACGCGAAGATCTCGAGAACTATAAAAGCTACCTCGCACAAATCGCAAAGTTTTCGGCCGCCCACAATCTTCAGGTTAGAATTGAAATGCTTTTAGTTTTTCAGTAGCAATCATCTTACATAAAGTTTGATAACACAGGAACACAAAACTGAACTTTGTGAAATTTCCACGAACCATGTCTAGTTATACCCGTTACTTGTAGAGTAAAAGGGTATATTGTATTCGTGCAAAAGTATGTAACAGCTAAAGGAAGCATTTCCGACCCTATAAAGTATATATAGTCTTGATCAGGGTCACTACCCGAGTCGATATAGCCATGTCCGTCTGTCCGTCTGTCTGTCTGTCTGATTGACATTTTGCATGCAGATTCTAGGAGCTCCTACGCAGCGCAAGTTTGTTTCAAAAGGGTGCTACGCCCCCTCTAACGCCCACAATCGCTTATATTCGATTTTAAAAATTTCAATATTTCGGAAAAGTAAAAATGCAGTTTTATTGTGTTTATCAATACCTTTCGAAATATAGAAGAAATTTTTTAAATCGGACCATTCGTTAAAAAGTTACGGCGGATCAAAGTTTTTTTCTCCAGCTCCTTCGCACTCCCTTTAGCTGAGTAACGGGTATCTGATAGTCGGGCACCCGACTATAGCGTTCTCTCTTGTTTTCATGTAAAAGTCCCATACAAACTTATGTTCCATCACCTACAGGTACCGCGGAATACAAAACACCGATGTTTACCGACATTTTGAATTTCGTGGCCTATATAATTGGACTTATCTTAATTATTATACCCGGCGCCCACACCTTTAAAGATTTCTGAGAAGTGTAAAAGCAATTTTGTTGTGTATATTTATACCTATCGAAATGAAGAAGATATTTTTCACATCGGACCATTCATTAAAAAGTTATGCGCAAACAAAAATATTTTATATATCCATCTCCCTCACACTCCCTTTAGCTGAGTGACGGGTATTAGATAGTCGGGACACCAACCCGACTATAGCGTTCTCTCTTGTTTTATTTTCCCCTTGCGCGGTCACACTTAAAGTGCGAAATGTTGGGGACTTTGTGAAGGTGGCTGAATTTCCAAGAAATTTAAATGCAGCTATTGGCGGATATGCCGTAAGACTATTAACATCACATTCTAAACACATTTTAACAACATTTATAACAAAGAATGGCAAACAAAATTTAACAAGAAAGGAAGCTAGATTCGGCCAGCCGAAGCTTATATATATACCCTAGTAGATAAAGTAAATACCAATAGTTTAATGATTACTCGGTGCAGTTCAAGGGATTCCAGATTCAGTGTGCCTATTTACATTTTTTTTTTGAGTTGTCAAAAATCAAAACGCCTACTTCCTATCCGGCTCGCTCCGACATATGTACTACCTGCAATAGAAAGATAACTTTCTGGAAAGTTTCATCGCGATAGCTTTAAAACTGAGAGACTAGTTCGCATAGAAACGGACAGACGGGCATGGACAGATAGACTCGGCTATTGGTGCTGATCAAGAATATATATACTTTATGTGGTCGAAAACGTCTCCTTCACTGGGTTGCAAACATCTGACTGAAATTATAATACCCTCTGTAAGGGTATAAAAAACAAATCGAATTTTGGGGCACTATGGGGTCGTTTATTGTTCTAATTTGTACCTCACACGCGGCTCTTTATTATTTAAGGAATTAATGTGGTTTTTTTAGATTTTTATGTCAATCCGTTCTGGGTGGAATTTGCTACTGACCGTTTTTTTGATAAAGAAATATATTGATACAGATATTTAAGGAAAACCTGTTATTTTTTTTTACTTTTATAATAAAGCTCAAAAATAAGAGGTTTTATTTGAGTTTTATTTTTCGATTGACAGATAACAGTTATTTTTGAGTTTTGTAATAAAAGTTTAAAAATAAAATAAAATATAATTTTTTCGTTAAAAGGGTCGTGGCGCTCGGCTGAAATAAACATGCGTTGCTTAGGAAGCCCAAGAATATGTGTGGGAAATCTCAACCTTCTAGCTTTTTTCTATCTGTTACATACTTTTGCACGAATACAATATACCCTTTTACTCTACGAGTAACGGGTATAAAAATTATAGCTTCGGTGTTCTTTTGACATTTTACCTTCTTCTCTTAGAAATTTGGTATTTTATTAATTTCTTAATTTTGGATAAAATTAAAAAAAAAGTAATAGGAAGGAAAGGAAAAATAATATCAAAATAATACGAAATTTAAAATTTTTGCGATTTGGAAAATAATAGGAATGATCTGCAATCGTTATTTTTTGAACGATATTTTTTTCGCTCACAATAATAATAATTATACCCGTTACTCGTAGAGTAAAAGGGTATATTGTATTCATGCAAAAGTATGTAACAGCTAGAAGCAAGCCTTTCCGACCCCATAAAGGATATATATTCTTGATCAGGGTCACTAGCCGAGTCGATCTAGCCATGTCCGTCTGTCTGTATGAACGCTGAGATCTCGGAAACTACAAAAGCTAGAAGGTTGAGATTTCCCTTCACATATTCTTGGGCTTCCTACGCAGCGCAAGTTTATTTCAGCCGAGCGCCACGCCCCCTCTAACGCCCAAAATCGCCACTAACGACGCCCACACCTTTAAAGATTTCCGAGAAGTATTAATGCAATTTTGTTGAGTATATTTATACCTATCGAAATGTAAAAGGCATTTTGCAAATCGAACCATTCATTAAAAAGTTATGCGCAATCAAAATTGTATATATCCATCTCCCTCACACTCCCTTTAGCTAAGTGACGGGTATTAGATAGTCGGGACACCAACCCGACTACAGCGTTCTCTCTTGTTTCTTGTCTTTTTCCACCACATAAAATAGTATTTTTATCAGGGCTGTGAACCCATATTATTTTTGCATGGGTTCGGTTCGGGGTTGAAACCTAATCGACAGATAATGTTCCGGTTTGCGAACGGGTTAAATGATGAGCCGGAGCAGGGTTCAGGCTCGAACAAGGGTTCAAAAAAATAAATTTTTTTTAAATGAAATAATAAAGTTAACATTTATTTCCATGTATTTTCATTGAAATATGTACCATAACATTAAGACTTACAAGTAAAGTTACAAGATTTATGATTAGATTGATTAGATTAGATTGTTTGAGTTAGATGCAGTCATCATAAACAAAATATTTGCGCATTTTTATTTCCCTTAGTAAATAAACTCGATGTTAATATGATCAGAAAGCCCCCCACAATGTTGAATAAAAAAACAGGAACACACAAAATAAATTTTTCGTGAACCGAACAGAATATCAAAAAAAAAAGTTCCGGTTCAATTATAAAAAAATTCTGCGCTCCGGTTTACGGTTCGGTTCCTTTTCTAAAAAAAGTGAACCACTCCGGTTCGGAGTGGTTCAGATCCGGAGTGGTTCCTTGCAGAGGGTATTATAATTTCAGTCAGAAGTTTGC